TCTATCTGTCAGTCACATGTTGCTTCCTTTGCATGATTGGAATATATCTGACTTGGAATGCAACATACGTAACTCTATCTCTATGCATATCCATATCTATGAAATTCTTTCTATCTGTTAGCCATATGTTGTCCCCTGTGCGTGATCGAAAGATCCGACCTGGGACACAACATATGCACTCCACTACCTCTTTAACCACCTATATGTTGTTCCCTCTGTGTGATTGGAAGACATCCGACCTGGAATACAACATATGTGTGACATCCCCAATTTCTCGGCCAGAAAAGACCAATTTGTTTATGCTTTGTTTTATAAATCAGAGTAATCGTTTAAAGAAAACGATTGTGGAATTTGTTCCCAAAACAAGATATGATAAAAACTTATCAAAACATTTCTCAAAGAGAATGTATTTTCATTAAATAATAAAACCTCGGGATGTCATGTTCCGATACAGACACATAAGCATAAACAGAACATACATTCATTTACTCTAGTGATTTACATCTCCTTTAATCTCTCAGTGCAAAGCAGCTTCGTATCGATACCTGTGATACAATTAAACTAAGTGGGTCAGGCTTGGGAGCGTGGTGAGCATATAGGGTTTTCAACCCACAATAATAGAATTATTATATTTAATTATCAAACTATCAACCCAATTACTCATCCCTATTATCTTCTTTTAATCTTCCCTAAAGATATTATCCTAAAGGTCATCTCTTATATCATATTTACCGCTCATCTCCTTACATCTTATATCCTTATATGCTTGTTCCTAAGAACTTTTCCTAAGGATCATCGCCAACATTGCATAGACAATACTAATTTGGGGATCACCCCCTCAATATATGTCTAGTAAGGGTTAGGGTATCATCGCATGATTACACATGCAGCCATAACATCGCCTGGACTCGTAAATCATAATAAGGGTTAGACTATCATCGCATGAATATGTAGCCACAACATCGCTTGGACTCGTAATTCATAGTAAGGGTTAGTCTATCATCGCATGAATACGTAGCCACAACATCGCTTGGACTCGTAATTCATAGTAAGGGTTAGTCTATCATCGCATGAATACGTAGCCACAGCATCGCATGGACTCGTAATTCATAGTAAGGGTTAGAGTATCATCGCATGAATACGTAGCCACAACATCGTCTGGACTCGTAATTCATCACCTACAAGTTATGAGCCTGCTGGTGTTTCCACGGGGTCATCTAGAATAGTCCGTGGTCGCCATCTATACTCTGGTAGATGACTACATCGCCAAATTGCCACATCGCCGGTCAAGGTTATGGTATCTCCTCTCATCTCACATCACCTTATTTATCATCACCTAATTATCATCACCTTTCTATCATCACTTATTTCTCATCACCTAATTATCATCACCTATTTCTCATCACCTAATTATCATCACCTATTTCTCATCACCTAATTATCATCACACATCATCTAATTCATCTACCCATGTTCCACCCAACATATTTGTAGATATAAAATACATATACATATTAACTCATTTAACACCTATATAAAACATCCATTCCACACTCATCTCAAATAAACAACAATATATAAAAACGTAGCATGTATTTCATAGCAAATACTTAATATATATATATATATATATATATATATATATATATATATATATATATGTTAGAAGAAAGTGATCACATACTCACACGTATAAACAACAATATATATATATATATATATATATATATATATATATATATATATATATATATATACATATAGCTAGTATTTTATAAAATACTTCATATCTATGTATAAGATGAAAGTGACTATACACTCACTTGATTAGAAAATGATCGTACAGCACTACGGCTCTTCAAGTAGATATTCTTCGGTAAAACCGGGATCACTTCACACACCGGGTTTCTCACGGGCAGAGCTTCGGCTCAGAAACTCTTTTCTTCTCGGGATCTTCGGGCTTCGGGACTTGCTTCGGGTCTCGGGGTTGATACCAGGGCTTCAAGGGTACTTCTTTGTACGGAAATTGAGGTAATATGGTGAGAGATGAGAGAATGAGCAACCAAACTCGGCTGGCCCTTCAAACCTATTTATAAGGCAAAATTGGCCCTTTCTGCATCGTGGAACCTTTTTCCACATCGTGGGCTTGGTCGTCACTGCATGCGTTATCTCAAGTTGCATCTGGGGGACTCCCGGAGGTGTTAGAAGGCTTGCCACATCGTGGCACTGCTTGCCACATCGTGGTCTCTAACAATTTTGGGGTTTCGCGCCCCGAACTTCAGAAATTCATAACTTTCGCATACGAACTCCGTTGTCGATGTTCTTTATATCGACGCGAAGGTGAGATTATGATCTACAACTCTCGTTTAGACTCCATTGGCTAATTTTGAATTTATTTTTAATATATTAAAATTATATTACTTATATATTATTTTTAGTAGGCCGGGACACGAAAACTCCATTATAAACTCATAACTCCTTCATCTGAACTCTGTTTTCGTCTGTCTTTTTATCGTTGGACTACTATTGATGAGATCTTCAATTCGCATTTAGATTGTTTTGGATAAATATCGCTCTAACGTAAATTCACTATTCACATCATGTTGTGTCGTGTCGGTTCTGGCGTGAAATTTCGACAGGTCATAACTTCTTCGTTATAACTCGGATTTTGGCGATCTTTATATGGACGAAAACCTTGTGAAATATACTATAACATGGTTAATATTAATCCTTCTAAATAATCTTCCATCAAAAAGTCATTTTTGATGCTTATTGTCTCTAAATTGACTAGCCCGGATCTACGGGCGTTACAATATGTACTTCTATATCTGACTTCTTTCTTAATGATTGAATACTCACCTAATGTAAGGAGTTATTTGGAAGTTCTTGATTATCGGGGAATATCAGGAAGTGGGAAACACGTTCTAGTACATCTAAAATTGAACTATTTAATAAGTTGTCTATAGATCTTGCTGCTTAATTTAAGTGGACAACAATATCCTTGGTCGTCATCAGCTAAAAGAATTAGATCACAATGACTTGTCACTTATAATCTTTCCAAATTGTCAACATCCTTTGTGCTTAAGTGGATCACAATACCGGTGATTGACCAAATCCAGACATACAGGCGTGTACTGGTAAACGATATTGGATTGCCTGACAACTTTGATCCCAAATATTTTTTGTTTTTATTATATTTGTTCATAGTTTTCCTCTATGCACAAATTTAGGGGGAGAATTTAAAAAATTAAAATCAAACAAAAATCAAAAAAATCAAAAATCCAAAAATATTGTGTGCTAAGTTTTCTTTTAGTTTTGTTTTGTCTTGAAAAGTGAATTCAGATTTAGACGAGACTGGTGGAGACTATATCAAGAATTTCTAAGCCAAGGCTTCGTTCGTGATCATCGAAGAATTCTCATTCGAAGGAGCAAGAAATGAATTTCTTTAAACGTTCAATTCTTCAACCCCAGAAGCAAGGTGAAGTTGCACTTGAAGATCATGTGATAGATTGCATTGAAGCTTCCTCAATCAATTTGCTGCTATTCTTATACCTGCTAAACTGATCTAGAAGATTAGATCGCTCTATTGTTCTCTCTGAGTATTCTCAAGCTGAAAGCGCCATCTTTCAAGAATCTTTTCAAGAAGCCTCCTCACCCAATGTCCGTTCAAATCCAAATTCTAAAGTAAAGCCCATCTGCTCAAGATGAAGTCATTTATTGAAGATTTATCAAGTTCATCTTGAAGCTGTGAAGAAATCGAAGATAAACGCTGAAGCCAAGCTCCCAATGAAGATTAACAAGAAAAGCCAGCTACTTTTTAAGGGGAGTTTGTTGGGTTAGTTAGAAAAGAAAGCTATAAACCAAGGGGAGGTTGTTGGGTCTAAATTATGGTTTATACTTTTCTTTTCTAGGCAACTATATTTTTCTGTATGTAATATGTGTTTGCGGATGTGTTCACGGCCAGGTTGGTGTGTACGGTTGTAAACGGGTTTATGGCTGTAAACCCACTCACGGTCGTGAACCCATTTACGAACCATGTTCCACACACACACACACACACACACACACACACACACACACACACACACACATATATATATATATATATATATATATATATATATATATAGATGTTAGGTGGGTGACTAGAGGAAAATAAGGAGTAAGAGAGTGTATGGCCAAGAGAGAGAGGGGGAAAGGAGCTTAAGTGTGTGTGTAAATATCATGTAAAGGAACATCATTCCATTCATCAATACATTGAAGATTCATATTATTCTTATACTTCTTCTCTATTTTGATCTGGCATCATCCAATTGATTGAGATTCCGCACCATCAATTGGATCTGATTGATACACAAATAGATTGGGGACTTACAATATCATATGATTAGTGATTTTCGTTTAAGAAAAGAATTTCATAGGCTAGAAACATCATATATTTCGTTATGAATTGTTTATAATTGATTTTATTTTTTATGTTGAGCTTGTATGATGAGTTGTTACATAAGTGAAAATGTACCACTATAAATTGTGGAATTTGTGAAATAATTTCTTTAATATCCAAATTACACAATCTAACGCGACTGCAACTCTATAAAAATATTTTTTTATTGTTTTATTAGTATTATTTCATAGTTTGTGATTAAGTGAATTGTCAATTACTATTTGTTTGTAATTTCTCATTTTGTTAGTTATGACGTTGAACGGATTTCGCTACTAATAGACATTTTTCAGGGAGGAATTTCAAAATTTAGTCACAAAAAAAGGTTTTTCCAGCAATAGACATGTTTTCCATGGAAGGGTCCTCTACGGGCTCATCGGAATGATAGATATCTCCATGAAATGGCTTTTTCATAAATAAATTAGGGGTAGGTTCGTAATTTTTCCCAGTCCACGAAGCAGTTGACGTGGTCCGCGGAGGGGCTCCACTGACCCTTTGTTATTTGGTTAATTCGGATAAACAACCTTCGTATTACCCTCGTCGGCCCCCACTCTGATTTATGATTCCACTGCTTCGCATTATCCTCGCAGACCCTTCCCCCACCCCATACTCCGCTTTGTCGATCTCCTCTTTTTTCCTCGCCGATGAAAGGAGATGGATCCAAATGCTTAAGGTTTTTGGCTATGGATTCTGCCTTCAGGTATGCATTTCCGATTTTATGTATCCCGTTTTCATTTTCTTTAGTTTTAGGGTAGGATGTGTAATGAAAATGCATTATATGTTCCTAAGAAAAACTTGGAAAAAGAGAGAAATCGAGGAAGAAGAAAGTTTTTGGGTAAGATCAATTCCGTCGAGGGTATGGTGTATCCGCAGAAGGAGCTCCGCGGAATGACCTTTAAATAATTTTTTTTCTTCCGTATTATAGCAATGTAATTTCAAATTATTACCCTTTATATAAACGTGAAAATTAGTTCGTATGTTGATGAGAATTGTATAATTAGGTAGTTTAAGGTAAACTGAAAGGATGTTGGTATTTATTGTCATAAATTAAATGTATATGTTTTGTAGCACGATGATCTCAGGAAAAAAAAAGCCAATTTAACTTTAAAATGCATTGTCGGTACCATCATTAAAGAGTATTTTTGCAGCTAACTAACTCACAACAAGCATTATTTGAAACTTCACCATTTTGGAAATTCTTAGGAATGCATGTCCCTAATGGTGACCCCTTACCCGTTCATTTGATGATGTTACATGAAGTACAATCTCAGGACATGTTTAAAGTGGGGATGTTTTAGATTGACATAAAAGGGGTACAATTGTAATTTGGTGAAAAAGAGTATATTTTGATAAGTGGGTTAAGAGTTGGTCCTTATGTTGATTTATTCCATGAAGAAAAAGGCAACTCAAATTCAAATCTTCAGGCTCGGTTGTTCCCATACATTACATTAATAATGCACGTTTGTTGCTTAGAGATTTAGAAGAGTACATTATGTATCAAAACTATCTTGCACTTGAGGATGAAGATGTGGTAATGCTTATCCAACTGGTTTTTATGTTGAAAGGTCTCTGCAGAAGGTACGTTAAAACGTGTATTCCCGTGTCAGTATATAAGCTCGAGGATAATATATAATTGGAACAGGTACTACATTTTTAAATTCTTTGTAAATATAAAAATAATTATAATAATTAAAATGAAAATTGCAGGTTTGCATGGGCTACATATCCCTGGAGCTATTCTTTGGGGTTGATGCGTGGAATATTTGAGAAAATTGAAAGATTTAAACTATTTAAGCAGGTCAATCTTGAGTCGACGAAAATACATAAGTATATTATTGTCGATTTTATGCTTCCATCTAAGGTTAGTTTGAAATGGAATTGTATACCAGAATAGTATCATACTTTTGTTTTTATACCAAATAGCATTTTACTTTCGTATTTATACTATAATAGAATCATACTTTTGTTCCTAGAGGCAATGCAGTTTGTTATTTACATACCGGGAGAATTGGCACAAATGAGTGTGTGGAGAAGAAAAACATCATTATCTTGGGATCAATGTTGTCGTATAATAAACATGTCTTTTGTATGTTTATTATATTATAATTATGTATACCTAAACATTCCATTGTTTTTTGGTGTTAAACTAACAATGTGATATTTGTAGCATAACAACCAGCCATGTTGTGACGACCCGATATTTCCTTTATTGAAAAGGTCGGGCTAAAGTCAAACTTCTTATCTTGATCTATTTTATTTAAGTAGATTTAAAAACTAGATTGTTTTAAAACCTTTAGATTACTAGTGTTGCGTGAATTAGGATCGAATTGCATGAAACTGAGAAATCTTATCCAAACCGTAAACCCTCTGTGGCATCCCCAAAATCACGGCTAGAAAAGACCGGTTTAATTTATGCTTTTAAAATGATCTCAGAGTAATCCTTTGATTAAAAGAGTTGCGGAATTTGTTCCCAAAACAAAATATGATAAAATAAGATTTACCAAAGCATTTCTTAAAGAAATGTATTTTCCATTATATTACAATACCCGGGATGTCATGTTCCGATAAACAGACCAAAAGCATAAACATTTCAATATAGGCCTTACAACAGTTAAATATAATGACAGGTCTATAATCCAAAAATAACTTGACAAGTCATCCAACTTATGCTCTGGCGCCACTACCTGTAATACAAAGAAACTGAGTGGGTCAGGCTTGGGAGCCTGGTGAGCATATAGGGTTTTCAACCCACAATAAATAATTATATTTAATTCTACCAACCAACAATAACCCAATTACCCATTTCCATTATTCTCACTTTACGTCCCTAAAACAACTAACACAAAGGACCTAGTCTTATAATATTTCATCGGGGCAACAACACATGCATTCGGGGGTTTCCCGGCAATATATGTCAAATAAGGCAACCATGAGGGGGATAGAGTACAGCGAATGAACACCCAAGTTCATTAATACCTACAGGTGGCGAACCTGCTAGCGTTCCACAGGACTGTCTAGAAAAGTCTGTGGTCGTCATCTAAACTCCGCTAGATGACTGAATCAAAAGCAACATCGAGGCCTCTCATCTGTTTATCACACAACTATCTACCCATGTTCTACCCGACATATTAGTAGATAAAAATATATATTTTTATACATAGTTTAAAACATGTATAGCATTCTCATTCAATACATATTCCAAACAATAGATGAGACACATACACATAACACGTATTTCATAGAGAACAAATCATATCTATTAGATAGAAGAAAGTGAATATACATTCACACATATAACAAAAAAAAATATACACATAACACATATTTCGTATAAAATACTTCATAATTATGCGTTAGAAGAAAGTGACTACACACTCACTTGATCAGAAGATGATCGGACAACACTACGGCTTGTAGAAGTAGTATTCGATAGATCTGGAAGATCATCACAAAAACCGGGCTCCTAGCGGGTAGAGCTTCGGCTCGGGAATCTCACTTATCGGGATCTTCGGGGCTTCGGGACTTGCTTTGGGTCTCGGGAATGATACCGGGGCTTTGGAATATGATTGGCATGCAAAACCATGCAAAACGGGAGAGAGAGAGAGAGAGAGAATAGAAAATGAGCAAAACAATTGGCTGCACTCGACTCCCTTTTATAGGGTCTGGATCCTCGATTTACGTTGGCCGTAAATCTAGGTACGCTGGGCGTAACCTGGATAGGACCGCTGACTCCCCCCCTTTGGATAATATCAAATATTTTTAATTTAAATTAAATACCGAAATTATTAAATAAACTTCAAAAATTGATATCTTCCTCATACGAACTTCGTTTTCGACATTCCTTATATCCCCCGCGTAGGTGAGACTACGCTCTACAACTTTTGTTTAGACTCCGTAGGCTAATTTTGATTTTATTTTTATTATTTATTTTTAGTAGGTCAGGACAGGAAAACTCCGTTATAAAATCATAACTTCTTCATCCGACATCCGTTTTCACCTATCTTTTTATCGTTTCACTACTATTAACGAGATCTTCGATTCTCCTTTAGATTGTTTCGGCTAAAAACCGCTCGATCTCAAATCGAGTATTCGGGTTGCATACTGCTAAGTTGAAACTTCATAAAATCATAACTTCCACATACAAAGTCAGATTTGGGCATTCTTTTTATGCACGCTCTCGGTTTAACGAACTCTACGACTTTCGTTTAGATCACTAAGGCTAAATATTGCTTTAACGTAAATTTTACTTTTTACGTCATTCCACGTTGTCGGTTCTGTCGCGAAACTTCGACAGGTCATAACTTCTTCGTTATAACTTGGATTTCGGCATTCTTTGTATCTTCGGAATCCTTGTTTCAACCACTAAATATTTATGCAAAGATATCGGGCTTATCTCACACTTTAAATTTGACGCTTAATTTATTCTTAATTCATTAAATCATAATAATTAAGAAAATAAACACATAATTCACATAATAATCAAATATTTCATCATTAATACTTCAAAAAGAGTTACAAGGGTTAACCTAGACTATTACATCAAGGATAAAGCCTAGCCTGGAACGCGGGTGTTACACCCTCTGCAGCCGTAAACCCTCGCATGAGCTGTAAACGGTTCGTAGCTGCAAACCTCGGCCGTAAAATCCTCGTCTGCAAACTCCGGTCTTATCCTCTTGGTTTGGAAACCAATGAAGGTGTTCATCACTTCTAACCCTATATAGGGGCTGAACCGTGAACTCCCTCCCCACTTCATCTTGATCCAGCCGAAAACTTGGCCCTTCTCTCTCAAGAACATCAACCGCAGACCTTCATTCTCTCTCAAACACTCATCCTTCAATCCTTTGAATCTTCATAGGATCTTGCTTGGATCTTCAAGTGTTCTTCATTTCACCAAGATCTTCTTGGGCCGTAAACCCCCAGGTGGCCATAAACACCCAAAAACCTTCCATATTGCTTCTACCACTCCTATTTGTAAGCTAAACTCACAAATCCATCCAATTCTTTATCATTCTTATTAGTCTATTCACTAATTGTATAGATTTATACTACGTGAAACGCACTTAAGGACTTGTTTTGTCTCGAGATCTAACATGTGGAAACAATCATCCTAAATAACCTTTAAACGAAACACCCACATAAGGTGAGTTCATACCCCTGCAATTTACGTTTTTCAATGTTTTTAGGGGGAGAATACAAGTAGAACACAATGGAATTGTGTTAACCCTTACATTTGAAAAGAAACAAACAAAGGATTTCTTCTGCTTACAAATATTGTTAAAATTCATTTTCAAACCCTTTTAAACTATTTTAGATTGTTGTTTATTATCAAAATCATATATATATATATATATATATATATATATATATATATATATATATATATATATATATATATAGGTATTCTTTAATGGACTTAGGACTGTTGCTATAACCGTAACTCATATTCCTTGTTTGGTGGTGGTCTTAGGGTAGGATCACTAGTCTGCATGTCGGCTAAATCATAATTATACATGCTAAATATATACATGAATATTAAATCTCATTTTTAAGAACATACTTAACTCACTTATATTGCTAAGCAAATGAGACTTTCTTCAAATCAATTACCGTACAGATAAACATACTACTAAACTATAATAGGTATAGTTTAGTGAATCATTACATAATATTTTCTAGATCAGGGAAACATTACATGAAACAATTTACAAACATTTTAAGACATAACAGTTTTCATAACAAAACATAAACAGACTTACAATTTATAACGAATATAGTTAAGGGACAAATGAAACTATTTTCACAAGGCTATGTTATAAACACTTATTACTCGTAATATGTTGATTCAGTTCATGAGTCATTTTTATGTACTTATCTAAGTATGGGTAAAAAGTCCTGATCTTATAACAAGAGTTTCTTGTAGGGAGAACGATGACAATTGTGTATAGATCTATGTTCGGACGAACAATCTCACATCCCGAGTGCTAGCTACAGTCAGGACAGAAGGCTTGGGACGACAAATGTTGTAAACAATTTTGACGCCTGAAAAACGTCGTTATCAGGTAGATAGGGTTAGTATGGTTATGATAACTCACCGGGGGAAAATCAATGACTTATTTACGAGTTATATATATTCAAATAATTTCAATTGATTAGTAATCTTTCAATTGGTTTACAAAACAAACTTACTTCAGTGGCGTTACTTTAAGTAATACAACTGCAAGTTATTATTTTCTATTATCTGCATACAGAAAAGTTCATACATGAACAAACATACTATTTTTCTAGTAAAGATAATCTTCTTTTATGGAAAAATTACATCCTACTAGTTCAGAGTACAAAAATACATTTACACTATTATAGAGAACAAAACTTACAAACATTTGGGTCTAAGGGTTGAAGACTACTATTCATTTATTATACAAAATATGATATTTTATGGAGAACATAAACTAACACTTTCATAGATCAAATACAAACATTAGTTATTAAATACTTATGAACTCACCAACTTAAATGTTGATACTCTCTTTCAAAATATGTTGTATTCTCAGGAAATCAGTAAACAAGTACGCTAGCACAGGTTTTGAGAAGGCGGGGCATGTTCTAGACTCGTCTTTTAGTTTGCTATACTTTTAGTGCAATGAAAATTTTCAATGAACACACATGTATTAACTATATTATGAACGCAATGGATGTTGTTGCTTGTTTTACTATTTTTCATTTGTTGTGATACTAAGCATGACTTCATCCGCCCCTGGACATTTCCACCGTTCTAGTTTGGGGGTGTCACATATTGGTATCAGAGTATTGTTTATAGTGAACTAAGTATATCAACCCATAAAAGATATACAACTATAAATACAACGGGATTAAAAATTCTATGACCAAGAGATA